ATATCCTAAAATTGTAAGTTGTATTGCTCTATAATTTAAAGCCTCCCAATAGCCTGAGAATCAATGTTTTCCAGACTAACAGAGCCATCTGCATTCCAAGCACTTATCCATCTTTCTGACCATATATGATGATGTCCTCTCTCCATACTGAGTTCACACCATGTCCAACTCACTGGGCTCCTTTCTTTCCTCATCAGACGAAGCTTGCACCGCCACAGGGCTGTTGCAGTTGCAGTTACCGTTCAAATGTTCTTTACTTTCTCTTTGGTGAACCTGGGTGCCTATTATTTCAGACCTATTTCCTGGTTTCTTCCTCCCAGATGTCTTTCTCAGTCACCTAGTCTATAGCAACCATCATCCCTTTCAGACTCAGCACACAGCTCATCATCATCTGATTTTTCAGCTTAATTCTTAATTTATTTATTTTCTGGCAAAGCTAAATTGCAAGCTCCATAAAAGCTATGCCTGGTCACATCAGTGCCTGCTACATCAGAGGTATTTGATACATTGTTAACAAATCTTTACCAACCAAAGAGGACTTTTCAATTTAAAAAAAAAATGCCTTTGGAAGATGATAGTTGTGATGGTGAAGGAGGAAGATTGCCTTGACTGAACTTGGGGGCCACACTTGTGAGTGTGTCTCAGTGGGGCTTGGAGGCATGACCTTGGGTTTCTATCTGGCCCCTCACCTCTATGCATATTTCCCAGGCTCTGTGTCCCAGTCATCCTGAACTAACAGCTCTCCTCTGCCACACCTGCTGCTGTGATATTTGAGGATTGAATTCCCTTAAAATATGAGGCAAATTAAGTCTCTACTTCACACTGTGAGTGTCAGGTAGTATGTGCAGAAACGGAAAAGCTAATGTATTGGCTGCTCAAACCAAAGACTTTTCAAAATGACAATTTCCTTAAAAATTGTACCATCGAGGGAAACTTAGTTTGTTTGCTTTTTTTTTTTAAACAGTGCCCTGTTTATTTTCCTTAACATAGCTCTTGTAATTACTAATTTTACTATGTATTTCTTTGCTTAAAATCTATCAGCCCATATAAACTATGTAAGTCCCTTTAGATGAGTGATATTGACTATTTACCTCTGAATGTACAGCTTTGAATAGTACCTTGAACAGACATTCACAATTAGTTGTTGAAAGAATGAAGACAAGATATAATCAAAGATGATTCAAGCCTTCTCAATTTATAATAAGAAAATAAATACATATTCTTACCTAAAACAACTGGGCAAAATGTTTTATATAAGTATGTTTGATCAACTGACTAGGAATTTCTTTATATGTTCCCGTAACTCCAATCCTCTCAGATTGTGGGCAAGTCCTCGCAAACATTTTGCCTCTTTTTCTTTGTTTGTTTCGTGTTTTGGGGGTGGAGGCTAAGGCAAACTCTCTCTATGTAGCTCAGGCTGGCCTCAGACTCACCATAATCCTCTTGCCTCAGCCTCTCTAATGCTGAGATTACAGGCATGCACCACCACCTCTGGCATTTTGCTTTAGATTTTGATCCCTAAAATATGAGAATTAAAGGAAATAAACAAACCAATTAAAATTATCTTATCTTTTCAGAGCAAGCTCAACTTGAGGATTCAGTAATTACCAGCAGCTGATTATCATTCAGGGATAAATGAGCACATAGGAAAAGTAAGAATGGTGGGAGAAAAAAATGAGAGGGCAATTTTGCGCTGCTTAGAATAAGACTTCCCTTGTTTTGTCTATTTTTTTTTCATAAAAGCTCTTAAGTCTAGGGAAATAAAACAAAGTTTAGATGCCCATAAGTCTAAGGAGAAATTAATAAAATGCAGTGGGGAAATTAAGTTGAACAAAAGTGCAATGAGCCATACTTAAAACCAATTAATTAAACAGATTTTGATATGTATATAACTGGGTTGCTGAAGAATTAAAAATAAATCCAAGATTTTAAATCACTGTTTGATATTCAACAAAAAACCAAATAACAGTTTGCAGAAAACTCGTACTTTATAAAGCAGTTTGAACAATGAATTCCTCTCATTTTTCCTATGGATCATCACCTTTCTTTTCCTTATTAATTGTTAAGAATTTGTGCTCTCAATGCTATGCAGAAGTCTTTGGGACACTGTGGCTCATTTCTACATTCTTTTATACTAATTTCCAAACTATGTCACTTGCCTGCAGCATCAATTATAAAAAGCTGGGAGTCACCCTGCTCTAAGTTCAGTCCTACGCTTAGTACTTTAGAGGCCTGAAATCCTGTACAAATAGTTTAGCTCTAAACAACCTTAGATTTCTCACTGCAAAATTGCTGTTAAGTGTAGCATTCTACAATTCCTTGACATAGTGTTTGCCTGAGAAATCTCTTAAGTGTATGGGTGAGGTAAAATATCCAACTTGTGAATATGTTTTGACTTCCGAAATTGTTCATTTGAAAGTTCTAGCATGTATTTCTATCAAAAATATACATTAGCAAAAATGGTTATCAGTAGAAAGGTTTCTACATGAGTCTACAAGAACTTAGTTTACCATAATATTGTTTTGAACAAGAATTATCATAATGGGTGTTGTGGTTACTTTTCTCATTGCTAAGACAAGTTACATGACACCCATAGTTAAAGGACAACAGGTTTCTTTTAGCTTCCAGTTTGTAGAGGTTTCAGCCCATTGTGAGCTACTCAAAGGCACAGCAGCATGGCAGGGTGACAGGGCACAAGAGAGACCATCCATGGCAGGTCAGGAAGAAAGCAGCAATGAAGCGAGCTTCCCTTTCCCTTTTGTCCCACCCAGGTTACAAGCCTTTTGGGTGGTACCACCAACACCAGAGTGGGTCTTTCCACTCGAACTATGCTAAAGCAGTTTAGATACCACAGACCCTCAATCCCAGTGTCACACATCAGAAATCCAGCCACCTTGGAACAGTCCTATGATCTCATGAGGTTCAAAGGGGATTGCTAGGTATAAGCCGTAATGATACTCTGGTTAGGATGTTCTACTGGTAGCATTCTATTTATTTGTTTTTCTTTCTTTCTATTTCTGGAATTTCCTGCCTTTTGTTGAGAAAGTCATGTATCCTGGGAGCCCTTCAATATCAGACAAATGTAACCACAATTCCTTCTGTTTGGAATCTAATTGTGATTTCATCCTTCCCCCTTTTTTGATCAGTACTAGGTAAATTTTAGCTTATGGAAAGATAAAGATAAATCTTTCAATGGCTTTGTTTTTAACCAGTCTAGGGTCTCTGAGGGGAAAAAATAAGTATTTCAAAACCCTACTAGAGAAGATTTTCCTCCAATGCTGAGCACTACACTTGACCTTCCAGAAGTTAGAACAAGTATTCCAAGGGCTTTCCATCTAATTGTTTTGGACAATTTTCATTTCAGAGCTCTACATTCCTTAAATTTATATAACAACATTCCATCTCTCTAGATTTCTGTGGGTTACATCTAATCTGTTTTTGGATAATTACTGATATTAACATAATCTTCCTGAAATATTAGCCAATAAAAAATCTAAACAACCATTAACTTCTGATTTAGTAACATTCCTCTCACTCTGGATATAGAAATAAGGTAAGATCTACTTAGAAAAATGTTGCCTGTCTGCTTGCTTTTTCACTATTTGCAAATAATTTCTCAAAGGAAACTACTGGAACATGTTAAATTGAAAGCAAAACTGAGGTTACCATAAAAAATTCTGTTCTAGCTACAATATTGTAGTGGCTGCCCTAAAGTTAGCAACCTAAAAATGTTTCCCAGGGCTGTGGATGTAGCTCAGTTGGAAGAGAGATTACTCAGCATGCATGAGTCTCAGGGTACAAACTTTAAAACCATAGGAAATTTTTTTCCTGAAGCTTGTTATCAAATAATTGGCATTTTCCTTTTTAGCCTTCAGTAACTTTTGATGTATTCCTGAATGTTACTTTAGTATGCAGCAGATGCTGCAGCCAGTAGAGAATAACACCGTGACTGCTTATTGTCCAGGAAGCGCATGCATGACTAAGTGCTCAGAATTCAGTTTTCTACCTAGTGAAGGAAGCTGATTGTTCACAGACTTGGCAGGTGAGAAGGGGACTTATTCCCAGACCACCTGCACTTTGACAGGATACAAGGACAATGTCCACAGTTTTTACTGTTATAATCTGGACAACTGGGGCATAATTGATGCACAAAACAGTTGAACAAATAACAAAATGCATCTAAAAGTCTTCATCTTGTATTTCCAACAAGACTATAACAGTCTTAGGATCTACTTAGGTGTTTTCTGAATCCACTAAGGTTGTGCTTCCCTTTTGAGGAACCAGGCAGCTAGGGGGATAGATGGTTCCTCCTTTGTGTTAGCTCAGTTTGCATTAATTTCTGTGAATGTTTGGTGGAACTGTATTCGTTCTTTAGTGTGAGAACCAGCAATCTACTCTACATCTTTCTCTAGGGACCAAACAACTGCCTGAACTACTTATGAAAATCAGTTAACCTTGCTGACACAGAAAATTATGGAGCTAAGTGTCAAAGTCTAGTAGAGTGTGAGACTAACATCACAGATTATATTTATGTAAAGGTTGGGATTCTTGTCAACCATTGATAACTACTATGATCTTGGTGACTAACATTAGACATTATGCAGGGATTTACTAAGCATGTAGATGACATTATCATAATGCAACCTTATGACTGAAAAAGGTATCACATTCTAAATTTTCTCTACAATATGGGGATCAAAATCATCAATTTAGATTTAGCAACTATAGAATGGAAAGCCCTATTGAGAATTGCAAATGTGTAAGAAATGGGGATCTTATGTACTCTGTGAACTTTTAGTCATTTTGAGCATTCAGATAATAATCTTATTGAATATGAGGGTTCTTGGTCATTTTTAGCATTCAGACAATTTCTGAGCATCTTTTATCACTTGGGCCATGATATAGTGTCAATTTACAGAAAACCTACATGCTTAACATACATTTAAAATTAGAGGTAATGTATTTTTGCAAATTATAAACTTGTCTTATTATTATCTTACCTTTGAAGTTTACTACACCAGCTGCAGTTGAAGCCAATCTGAGAGGCCACACACGGGCCACAACTGTTGAACTGGAGACAAGCTAGGAAACAGGATAGAACGTACTCATCAACACTCATTAACAGCAAGGGAGAGAGAGAAAAGACCACTCAGCCGAAATAAAAACCAACACCCATCTCTGTACACACAGTGGATCAAAATACTTATGCATGTCAGCACAATTATAATTAAATGATTAACACAATAGTTATCAACATGATTATGGAACAGTTCAGATCATCAAACTTTCAAATCACATTTTCTACTTAACTATGTGCATATATTAACTTACTAGGTAACGGGGTCATCTCCACAGCTGAAATGTTGGTAATTTTTGACATCTGTAGCTCCACTCTATGGTATTCATAAATAGTTCTTCTTCGAACATCTATAATAGTAAACCAGAAAGGCATTAACTTCCGATAATTTCTCATAAACAAAACAGAAGCATTTTGAAATCATTTTCTTAGCTAGAGTTTTAAGGACTACATTGTAATTAAAAATGTTCAGTCTAACTGGGTGTGGTGGCTGACACCTGTAATCCCAGCACTCAGGAGGCTGAAGCAGGAGGATCACTGGGAGTTGAAGACCAGCTTCAGTTACACAGTGAGTTCAAGGCCAGCCTAAAGTGCATAGAGAAACCCAGTCTCGAAAATAAAGTTTTTCTTTTAAAATTATTTAATTATTTATTTATTTATTTATTTGGTACAGGGTCTCACTACACAGATTGGAGTCATAGTAATCCTCCTGTCTCAGTGTCCCTAGTGCTGGGATTACAGGCCTGCACCACCATGCCCCGTCTCAGTGGCAGGCACGGTGCACCTGGTGTTCGGAGCTGACATAGCATGTGACATTGGAGACCAAACCTAGATCCTTGAGCTTGCCAGGAAGGCACTTACACCTCTGACTATCTCCCCAGCCCTCCAAAAGCACCACCACGCCCAGTCTCAGTCGCTGCCTCAGTGCACCCCAGGGGCGAGGCCAGCACCGCAGGCTGCGGATGGAAGCCCCGGCCCTTGTGTTTGCCTAAGCAGGTGCTTTAATCCACGGAGCTATCTGGTCAGACTAGGGATACAACTTTAAATCACTTTCAGATCAGTATTGCTATGTATTTATATAGTATATCTAAAGAATGTTAATAATTATTTATATTACATAAAATAATTTCTAATAATTCATCAGCAAATCCTTCAAAGTCCCTGAGAAGAAACTTAGATGGAGACTTGTCAAGTACTTTAATATCTACAACTCAGATAAACAAAAGCAAATGTACTTTAAACTAAAGCAAAACAGAGATATTTAAAATCCCCATTTTCAGCCCTACTAGTGAGCACATATGCGTATGTTGAGTGTAATGGAAAAGCAGTGTTCTCAGCATTTTATTTCATTTTTGGAATTCTTGCAATGACAGTGATGCATTCCCCAAATAATATTCCTATCAGGAGTTGTTTGAGAGACTATCTGTTATTTAAAAAACCCCACAGTGTCCAATATTATTTTAGAGGAAATTTAACTTGTATTGGGCAAAGGACATTTTATTTAACTAAGACAAGTTCCTCATATAGTTTTCCCAAATATTTTGCAAAATGACTCAGTTTTTAGAAGTAATACTTAACATGGCTTTGCCATATAGATCATGAGGGCTGGAGCTAGGGCATGTTCCTGCTAGAGTTTGCAGAGTCCATGTGGTGTTTAATATATTGGTATTATTTTTCTTTCATGTCTTATTTTGAAAAATCTCAACTAATGACTGTTTTAGGAAGCCACAGGGAGCTAATTATTGACCATGCATATGGAATGAAAGGATAGAGGGACGGGTTTTCTATGGCAGCTCTATTACCTGCACAAAACCTCCCACTATTGGGAGGAGATGATTTAATAAATTCAAATTAATGAGAGTGCTTTTTGTCTGATAGCCTGCCAATCAATGGCAGCTTCCAAATGGTCATTTCTGTAGCGGTTCAGAGATTTTCTTGTCAAAAACAAGGCATTAGCAAGTGTTTCACTCATTGGTCCAGCCAGTGCTAAAAGCTTTCATTTGATTCCAGAAATGTATTCAGTTTAAGTGTCTTCTTCAAAGAATTAAGCCAAAATAATTTTAATCCCAATGCTGAATCTTGATGCTGACAATCAAATTTAACTACTCTATTCTGGTTCCACAAAACCAAAATTAATTTTAAATACTTATTCTTGTAGTACTTTGATAAATAAATAAGCAGGTTAATGCACAGAGAAAATATAGTTCAATGATCACAGTCTCAAGGGGATGTGAGCCAATGTGAAGATTGCATAAACTGAATTGCACGTTTAGAGATGACTGACAGTTCCCCGCAGAAGAGACACAGTGATCTTATGAAGACACCATTAATCTTCTCCGGTTCCTATCTACCCTCACTGCAATGAGCACAGAGTGATGCCACATGGCTAGATCTAGTTTATTTGCCTGTCTTGAAAGTTAACATTTACATGAAGAAATATGATTTCCTGAACTGGCCTGTTCTCATCTTTATTTCAGTATTTTATCCAAATTGTGAAATAAATGATTTGCTGGTATTTTCTTATTTGTATTTCCAGTGCTCAATGACTAGCCCCAAACATGTATATCTTTTTTTCCCTAGTTCAAATTGAACCCAATACATGATACTATGCACTGAGAACTCCTTAATGTAATTTGTATGATTTGCTCAACTTTAACATTCATTGGCATCATGAACACAGAGGAAAAACAGACTCTTGAAATAAAAAGACATTTTTTATTGGAAATATAGCACAGCCACATAAGCACTTGCCAGACAAATGCAGGGTCCTGAGTTTGACCCCAGATATTGAGAAAAAAAAA